TAAATAGGTAAATGTGTAAACGACTAAGAGTTCCGTTCTTTGGTCCGCTTGGGGTACTCTATGACAGAAATGGAAACTGTCGTAGTGTGATATTTTCTTTTTCCACTGAAGAGGGGAACAAAGAAGAGCTTTTGGAGGTTTTTGGCAAGAGGATGGTGACTTGCCCGGAGTCTCTTTACCCAAGTTTTTGGGTTTTTTGGAGTTTTTTAATTATCTGTTACTTATTGCTGACAGGATTGAAACTTCCTTGAGACATGATTGGCATTTTAGCGTGCATAATCAACTTTCGTCAGCGTTTGTTTTCATATGTATATTTGTCAACATAAGTTCTTAGTTATTAATTTCCAGAATCATAGTGGCATGTGCAATGTTAAATAGTTATGTGATGTGACTTTCTGTACATAATTATTCCTTGTAAATACCAGTACCTAGATGTGGCATGTAGTACTGATTTTTTTTATTTGCGGGGCTAAGTACCTGCAGTTGTATATTTATAAGATGAGTGTTTATACGCGGTCGTTGAAGTGGAATACATTTTGCAATAAGGAAGCACTATCTCTGGCTGTCCCATAAAAGCACGTANGGTGGGGGGGGGGGGGGGGGGGGGGGGGGGGGGGGGGGGGGGGGGGGGGGGGGGGGGGGGGGGGGGGGGGGGGGGGGGGGGGGGGGGGGGGTTGCAGAGTTTGACTGCTCTAAGCTTAAGAGTCTGAGCATTATTTCAGGCCAGAGCTAGATGGGCTGCTTGATTGCATTGTAACATTGCAAGGTTTTACTTAAAAGTGTATTTTATTTCCGATAGAACTGCTGCGAATTTCATTTTAATTTTTTTTTTTTTTTTTGTTGTAAATTTTCTCTAGGATTTGGCGAAACTTCCTGGGACCTTTCAACACGGAGTATGCCCCTCCTCAAATGGTTAAAGAGATAACGCGGCAGATATTGGAGTGAGATAGCCCCTCTTGCTCTGATCCCTTGCAGTTCTTAATCCTCTCATAGAATCAATTAATTTTCAGTCCCAACACTCACCTTCTTGGTGTTTTGGACCGCTAGACTGCCGTGCTAAGGAAAAACGCCGTATAAACTTCGGCTGTTGTCAAAATTCCCCTCATTGAACATTAATTTTCAAGGGATTTTATGAATACTTTTCCCTAAAATTTTCAGATATGGTAGATTAAATTGCAAATTAAACTTTCTAAAAAATTGGGAGAAATAACTCCCCGTGGCTCCTTGAAAATAGGTATTTAATGACACAAAATGTGGCAATATAGTTGAGGGCTCTCATGGCGTTTTTCCTTAGCACGGCAGTAGGGTTCACAGGTGATTTTTTTATGAAAAGCAATATGAATATATTTGTACCCTTAAACTTAACGGGTTTTTTTTAAATAATTTTTCAGAAATTCGACTTTTAGGCGAAACCTGCTTTTTTTTATGAAACTTTAATTTTTTCAGGGAATTTGAAATTATGAGTCAATATAGCTTTTCCTCACTCTACATACTTGAATGCTATGAAATTTTATGTAAAATATATTAATTTTCGAGTCAGAAGTTGCCAGTTACATTCATGTAGAGCATGAAATCAATAGTTATTATGTTTTCATCGATGGCTATGTGTCATTTTAAGTTATAATTGTGTCCTCTCAATCATAAATAAATTGATTTGACGTTAAATGATCCGATCTTTTTAATTCATCTTTCCCATCTTCTCAGTGCCAAAAGGTGCAACTCTGAGTCTTTGAATTTGAGAATCAAAAAAAGAAAAGAGAGAGAAAAAAAAAGAAAGAAAAAACCTTATAAACCGGAAAATATGTCAAAATTATTATAACTTGTTTAAGAAAGTACCTATTTTAGAATGTCTTATTATAAATATTTTTTTCCATAATTCTTCGAAATCATTCATAATAAGACCATGAATGAGTAACATTATCAAGACCTCCGTGTATTCTCGCCAACGTATTTATTGTCCAGAACAACTGAACATGTTTCGTAAATTGGCATCGTTAGATTCCTTATCATCATACTCTATGCCATAAAATCATGAGCAACGCACAACGTCTGAAGAGCAAAGCGCCTTTAAGTGTTGGACTGCGAAGCGGTAAGGGGGCTGACCCCCTATATTTCAAATGTTTTCCTTTTCGTTACTCCGCGATAAATATATTGAAAAAAGTTCGCGATATTTTAATATGATTTCTTCAATATTTCATGGTATACTGGAATAATAGTGATAGATTTTGGAATTTTAAATGTGCGAGTCGAAATTCAAGTTCCCCGTTAAAAAACGCCCTCCGGTACCGAGTTTCAGAAAAACCCATCGAACAGGAGCCGCGCATCGTAGGATCTAGTGGTAAACGGTACCTGTCAATTTACATACGTTAGTGCGCCTTCAATTTCGCTTGATACTGTGCAATACTTCCGAGGCGGAATAGTTGCTCAGAGCGCCTGCAAGAGTATCGCCTCGACTTGGGGGAGGAAGATCATGATTCACGATTTCCGCTGAGATTACACGCTTACGAGTGTGCTGGTAAACATCTTCTCATCACCGGCGCGGCGGTGAGGTAAAAACATTTATTCCTCAATTTGCGACGTTGCAAGATTTTCGCTGCCTACTTTAAACTGATAAAGTGATATGAACACCTAAAAATTCGCCGTGATGTGATGAAAAATGTTTATACTGTCTCATTCAAGTCAATTATTTGTATGCTTTCGTTGCACAGGAAAAAAGAAGTACGAGTAGGAAAGTTCGGACGAACAATGCGGATCCGGAATATACAGCCCTCGAAATAAGTGGGCCCTTAAAAGTTGATAAAAAGCGCCAATCCAAACAAACTGACAATCAGCTTTATTATTATCTCGATTTTGCGCTTTTGCGGATATAATGTAGAGATTTTTAACTTTGATAATATTCTTCCAAATGATGAAACGAGAAAATAACAAGAAAAGGAATAAAAAAAGTAAATACATGAATAAATAAACAATCAGTTTCAACAACAAAAAACTGAGGAGCGTGGGCATTTCGATGTTTAAATTAATCGAGAGTTCACTGTTTTTAAAACTGAACAGAAATAGAATAGAGATCTCGATACTCAGTTCGGATGATTTGGAAGGTACCAATATGGCATTTCAGGCCACTCCCGCCATTGTGAATTTTGAAATTTTGAAAATGTCTCCAGAAATTCGAGTTTCTTGTGTAAAATTACCCTCTTATAGGTGCGGAGAAGCCGCATATCGTAGGATGTATAGGGCTCTGTATAGTGGTAAACTACATATACCAGTCCATTTGCGTACATTAGTGCGCCTTCAATTTCGTTTGATACTGTGCAATACTTCCGAGGCGGAATAGTTGCTCAGAGCGCCTTCACCTTTATCACCTCGACTTGATGACAGAAGATCTCGATTTACACACTTTATCACCACCGTGGGTGCGGTAAAAACATTCATACGTCAATTTGCGACGTTGCAAGTTTTTCAATGCCTATTTCATGGGGGTAAATCATCGGTGAACACTTAAAACTTTGCCGTGATTTTTCCGAGATAAGACGAGAAGTATTCTTTACTGTTTCATTCAAGTCAATATATGTAGTACTTTCATAAGTGGACAAAAGTAAGTAAAAAATTAAATTGCCCAGTTAAACATGGCAATAGCTGATGTGGATTGGTTCCTTTCTGCTAAACCCGGTCCACTTGTCCCAAATAACCGCGCCTTACACAGGCCCGTCAATTTGAAAACCGCGCCATACATAGGTCAACGCTGCTCGGCGCAACCATCCGCGAAACACATCAATCACCGCTTAGGCCAAGTTCTTACGCTAGCTTTTGTAAACAGACTTTTCCTGACTTTTTTTCCGAATATTTTTCGGGACGATATATTTCCTGTGGAATAGTTATCCCCCCGTTGTGCTTCCTTTAGATATGGACTGCAATTATCCACAAATTTTCCTGTAAACCTTGCTGTGCAGTTTCGTCATCAGAAAGTTTTACCCACCTCTCAAAATGGACATGAGTCTGGATGACATTATCAAGAAGAAAAAGCCGTTTATCAAGAAAAAAGGGTTTGTGTTTTTATTTTTCTATTTGTTCAATCAATATTCATTATCAGGAAATCTTCATTATACTAGTGAAACTCTGCGTTATTACCATTTTGTCACTCGATGAGATGGTTGTTTGGCCCACGCACATGTCCAAGGAGTGGACCCTGTGGTACTCCATGTTGGAGATACAACTTAATTTTCAATTCACTGAATGCTTGGTTAACTCAATCAAGTCATTAATTCAAATACGGATTTAAATGTTTCCTATGGAGGTGTCGATAGCTAAGTTGGCACTTGTTTACATTCCGTTTGCAAGTGACTGCAATTCAGTTGTTCAATTGATGCCACTAGTGGCGATGTCATCGTAGGGATTCTCCATTATATCAAATTGGATTCAAACATCAACACGGGTAACCTCTTTGCATGCTACCAATGCAAATCAATTGATGTATTTATTGCTCTTCCGCAACCCGGCACTTAAAGTGTCTTCAGGGATTGAGGGTTGACTACGCTCACAGGCTGCGGTCAATCCTCGATCGCTGATCCTCGATTGTATCGAGATCGCTTGCAAGGGGAATGTAAACAAGTCTCAACTTACCTGAAACCACCTCTAATTTATTCTAATTGGATCACATAACTTGACATGCTAGATTTTCCTTGTCTATATAAAAAAATTATTTAGCTGATTGCCGATGGTGCATTCTTCTGAATTTCCAAATCTTTTCCAATCTTAACAGTGTGCATCAGATTAGTCACACACTAAAATCTCTGTGATCTACATTATACATTGATTTTAGGCCTTTCATTCATAAATTTGCAAGTTACCCGGCAATTTATACATTGCTAAAAAACACCAACCATTCGGCTCGGTGTGATTCCATGTCTAGACAGTTTACTTCAATAACAAACTTGGAGTGAAACACTGTCAGTGTCCATGTGTAGAGATGTCGTCAGATAAGTTGGTCAATGTTTATTTTCAGTTTGCAGGCATTTTCGCGTCACCACTGTCCACATGAAAACATCTACTTACTTAACTCCGGTAGAAGCAAGAACACAATAAGAACCTCCTAAGCTTAGATAGATTTTTTAATACCTTCAAACTTTGTCACACTCATTTTTAGCCACACAGAAAGCACAACCACATAAAATTCATGGATCATAATTGATAAGTATTTTTTTTACGATATGATCATGAGACAGATGTTTTTAAGGTGGATAGTAGCAAACGCCACTTCAGGCAGGGGCGTAAATTCGTCTTCGTCGCTTTCAAACCGAAAGTAAACAAACGCCAACTTATCTAACAACACCTCTTACAGAGACTGCGCTTCATATCTCTGGGGAAACTAATTCTCTCACTAATCCATTGCTTAAGCCATTCTAACATTTTCGTGTTCTTTCTTCAGGCAACCTGTCCGGAAAGGAGCTCCAAAAGTTGGAAACAGAAAACCAGCAGGAAAACCTGCATTGGCAAAAAATGGAAAAATTAGCGATGCAAGACTGAAAATAGTGAAAAATCAAAGGCAGAAGTACCAAGATGCTCGCGACAAACTTGTAGAAATTAACAAGATGAAAGGAGATGCCAGGCAGAAAATCGAAAGACTTCGAGAACAGAAAATGGGCCAAAAGGTTAGTCCTTGAAATGTCTACTACTCTTTGAAACAACTTAGTAAACTATAAATTGAGATATGATAGATGCTCCGCAGCCTGTGACAAGATATACAATGATAAAACAAATTACACATCGAGTTACAAGGCTAATTTTCATAAATATTACCAAAACGTTTCGGCTGAAAACTCAGTCATCCTCAGTTGGGTAAAAAGTAAA